CGAATTTCTCCATGAATTGAATGTCAAACTTGGCAAGGAAAAAAAAATGGACTCCCTCTTTTTCAAACGATCGCTGTTGGATCCCTGGCCACAGTCCGGGGCAACTCCGACGAATGCTGTCCAGATCCAACCGACTGGCACTCTGCCCCTGAATTGGCAGACTTAAGTTAGCCACGTGGAATATTCGTGGGTCAGGGGATTCGAATGACAGGAATAAACGTGACCGCCTAAGAAGTTCGATCCATGAGAAGAAAGTAGATATTATATGTCTCCAGGAGACAAGCTTTCTGAATCGAAGATCCTTGAGTTGGGTACGTGGTGGGACGGACCACAAATCTGGTTGTCAGCCCAAGGTTCGAAGGGTGTGGTTTCTATTTTAATTCATCGTGGCCTTGAAGTTGAGATTCTGGATTTTTGTGCAGATTTCTGGGGTCGCTGGTCTTGGATTAAATTATGGTTGGGTAATCAGGAGTGGGTGATTGTTTCGATTTATGCTCCCACGAACAACAAGGAACGTGAATTCTTCTTCAATGATCTCCCCTTGTTTATCCCCGACTGCGAGAACTTAGTCATCGCATGTGATTGGAATACCACTCTGAATAAAGATGAAGTAACTAGAGGCAGCAGCGATGTTAAAGAATTAACCGATGTGATGTCAGATCTGGATTTGTCCGAACCATTTAGTCTGCTGCACCCGGGTAATCCAGGCTATACCTGGACCTCGAACATTCGAGAGGGAAGAGGTACTGTGAGCAGAAGACTAGGTTTTTACCTCTTATCACCTTCGGTATGGAATGCTACGATTGATATTCTCGAGCAGTTCCACTCGCTTTCGGATCATAAACCGGTGTTGGCCTCCTTTAATGCGATTAAAACTGAAAGAGGCCCTGGATACTTCAGGGTAAATATAGAGATCCTCAAGGATCCCGGGATTAACGATTGAATGCACAGATTTTGGGAAGACTGGAAAAAGAATCGTGAGTCTTTTACATTTGTTGCTGATTGGTCGGATGCAGGCTCGGGGATCTTCTCTAAGCATTTGAGTATATTCTCCCGCATTTTGGCAGCTGAAAGGAACAAACGAGAATCCTCCCTGGTAAAAAAAGTGGAGTATGTTGAGTCTAGAATGAATATGCACCCTATATCTAATCTTGTGTGGAGCCCCATTAGGCTTAAATGCATGGCAGATTGGGATGCATATGAACAAGAACAGTCGGAAGTTTGGACGGAGCGTTTGAAAATCAAAGGGATTGCGGTCTATGACCGCACGACCAAAGATACATTCTATGACCGCATGACCAAAGATACATTCCAAAAACTAACGCCCAAACGAATGACCTATTCAATGAGCTCGCTAACCCACCCCTTTGATCAGGAATTTCCCGTTGCCTATAACCAAACCCAACTCTGTGAATATGCCGCTATATACTGTCAAGATATCCTAACTACTAGGCACCCTGATGAGGACATTACTGTAGATCTCTCTGAAGGATCGAATCATTGGTCCAATTACACTGCTAGAATCTCCACTCAGGGAAGATTAGACATGGACCACCCGATTTCAGAGGAATAAGCCTGGGAAGCTCTACACGTAATGGCCCATGGCAAAGCCCTTGGGGATGATGGGCTCCCAGTGGAGCTCTACGTAATTATTTCGGAGGACATTAAGAGGGAATTAATTGAGATTTACAACGAAGTCTCGGTGGGTAAAAACCTATCAAAAAGTACGAGAAATAAGGTTATATCCCTACTTTATAAAAAAGGCGATCGCTATGAGATCCTGAACAAGCGTCCGATCTCAGTTTTGAACGTATCATATGAATTGTTAGCGAAAATACTTGCGTGCCGCCTGGGCCGATACCTGCCTTCTTTGGTTAAACATGACCAAGCAGCATTTGTACAAGGTCGATCTATTTTCAACAATATTGCCACAGCAGTGGAAGCCTTGGAAGTGGTGGAAAAAACTAAACCTAATACCTCGGTACTAATGCTTGACCTTGAAAAAGCTTATGACCGAGTCAATTGGACGTACGTTCTCACCACCCTGCGGCACGTGGGCTTCGGGGAGAATTTGAGTAATTGGGTAATGTCCCTCTATTCTTTTTCCACCGCTGCAGTGATGGTTAACGACAACCTACCAGAGTCATTTCCTTTGATGAGATCTCTTCGGCAAGGCTACCCCCTTGCCCCCCTCTTATTCGTTGTACAAATGGAGAACTTGTTATGCAATATCAAAGCACACCCTCAAATCGTGGGTCTTAAATCAGAACTTGTTCAATGCAAAGTCAAGGTTCTGGCCGATGACTTATTTGCAATCTCTGAAAATTCGATAAGTTCAATGTACCCCTTAAAGTCCTGTCTTAATGAATACTCAGAATTATCGGAGGCTTCGGTCAACTGGGTTAAATCTGTTTTTTTCTTCCTGATCCCCATTCACCTGTGGTGAATTGGGGAATGAAAAGGATAGCAATGGGCAGTTCAGAGCGCTTCCTAGGAGTTCAAGTAGCTCTACTTTCTTGTACAGTTGATCAAGAAGGCATTCTCCTTCAACGCACACTTCAAAGAGTCTCCACTTGGGGCAAAGCTCCTCACCTGTCCCTCTATGGACGTGTTTTGGTTGTAAATGGGGCCTTATTCGTCTTGCTCTGGTTTGTAGCTGCAATCCACCCTTTGGGAAACAACTTATGTTCTTTAAGTTGACGACGAGCTGCCAAGTTCATTTGGAAACCTTTTGCCGGGGATGATGAAGGTTTTATGTCAAAAGTGGCCTGGGAGTTACTTTGCTGCTCTAAAGATGAGGGTGGAATGGACCTAATTGACCCTCAACGAAAGAGCACAGCTATGCTGGCCCGGTGGATCAATAAATAGTATGGAAGAGACACATTGGATCTCGTTGGCTAAGACTATCCTATCTTTGGATTGGAACCTGTCCAGACCGTCGGACATATGGACTTGTTTGTTACTCCCATCCTTTCTGAATAGGCATATTATTAAGTTTGAATTTTGGTCAGCTATTATCTCAGCCTGGAATAAGGTACTACCCAATGTGTGCCTCCACCCCACCACGAAAGCAGAGGTGCTGCTGCAACCTCTATTTGAGAATCCACACATCCGCCGCTCTGACGGCAGCTGGTTTGTTGCGAATCATTCCAGATAGAGCTTTGGTAGAAAATGGATAGAAAGGGGTGTCTTGAGGATTGGTGATCTGTGGAACAAGTGGGAAAACCAATGGCTAACTCCCTCTCCTTTGAGGTTTTGGTACATTGAGGAAAGGCTAGGGGAACTCATAGCAGCAATCCCAGACCAGTGGAAGCATATTTTAAGCCGGGAAGGTATTGACCCTCCAGGCACTTGGTACATCAGCAGACCACTGGAGCCTGCTCCAGTCTGCTGGAAACTGGTGAATATTGACAACTTCGGCAAAAGGACCTTTCAATGTTGGAAAGGTAGTTATTTTAACGCTTCCATCTTAGAACAGCAGGAGGGTATCTCACATCCTCCTCCAATTGCCAAATTGAGTCAAGTTCGCGTCTGGGAAGAATGTGATGAGGAGGGAAATTGGAAGTGTACCCTATTTGCGGATGGGTCTGCAATCTCTGACCTCAAATTGGACCCTAAAATGTGGGGATGGAGAGGAGAAGGGACAGGCGGGCAGGATAAGCCACTGATAAGCTATACAGTAGAACAAGGGTATCTGGCCCAGGCTCCACCCCGTACCCCTAGGTCAGTGGCAGTTGCTAGATGGAAGCAAGTCCTCGACAGTAATCCTGAGCAGCTTGAAACTAAGTTGTCCCGCTGTTGGAGCCAACTGAAGATTGCCCCATATCCTAGGCTATCAGCAAACCTTTGGCTACTATCTTTACTGGCTACCCCCTCGGCGGTAAACCTATTTCAAAGAGGGTTGAAGGTGGATTTGACCTGCAAACGATGCAGCTGGGCGTATGAATCGACCCCCCACTTGTGGTATGATTGTCCTGCATCCAAGAGAATTTGGGATTGGTGGCAGTCCCTTTGGGCGCGGTATGCAGGAAGTGACTTGATTTGGGACAGAGATTGGGTGCTCCTGGGGGGAATCCCGGAACACATGGATCTCAAGACAGGCTGGGGCTATGTATCCCAATCTGCCAGAGTGGTAGGCTGCAGTGTCATTTGGAAAGAAAGGAACCTACGGATTTTCGAAGACAGGGATATGACAAACAAGGAAATCAGATCCTTGTTCACAGGTACATTCAGGAGAATCATCCAGGCGGACTGGAGACGGAAAGGCCAAGGTACCTGGTTTGGAGATACCTGGGGTCTAGGTGGAAAACTGGGAAAACTCGAGGACGGGAAATTAATCCTCGACAAGTGGTTTTGGGAGTGAGTCGGCAGTCCGAACCTGGTACTCGGTTCTATAGATCCACAGTAGGATGGCAGAGGGAGTACGACACAACACGTTAGAGGGTTCAGTTAGTAGTATGATTGGTAGGTTGTAGTGGTTTTTTTTTTTTTTTTTTTTTTTTTTTCGTTCTTTCTGTTTACGGTGGCTCCTCTTTCTTCCCTTTTTGGTTTGTTAGGTTTTTTTAGGCCTGAGGCGCCCCCTTTTTTTGGTGTGGAGAGTGAGGTTTCAGGACATCGGCCTTGATTTGGTCATCTTTGTTCCTGGATCATCCTCCAGCTCTCATATGAAGTGTGAGTTCAGCGAGCAACTGCTCGTAAGCGAAACTGGCTGATGCTGCCAGGATAATCTCCGGGTTGAATTGTGAGGTCCCCGGCCTCGATTTGACCTTGATAATAAATGGATTGCTTTTGCTAAAAAAAAAAATAAAAAAAAATAGGTCGTCGGTTTCGTGGCTTGAAAACGAAAAGAAAAAAAAAAAAGAAAAAAAAAGAAAAAGGGTGTCAAAACAAGAGGCGGTCGAGAGAAGAATTCGCAAGTCCACAACTTCATCGACTTTTATTTTTTTTAACAAAGATTTTATCTAACGGGAAAAAAAAAAAAAAAAAAACGGTTAAACGAACGAACCTCATGGAATTCTCGCATGATTTCGTTTGCCGGGTTTCCCAAATAGGTGTGCTGGCTGAAAAGGTACATATCTCGGGGCAAGGGGTCGGAACAGACAAGTTCTATATACATGATTCAGAATTTCTAAAATAGGTAATCCAGTAAAGAGCTGGTAGAGCGGTGATTGGCAAGTTCGCCACAACGGAATCCAACTTTTTTTTTTTCTCGTTTACATAAACCAAAAGAATGGTTGAACAACAGACGGCAATAACCCCCCTTATCTTCTTAATTAAAGGCCATTAGTTAATTTAATTAATTTACACCATCCCGTTACTAGGCTCTACGATCACAGGTGTAAAAATCGCTCCTCCCTTCCTCCTCCCTTCCTTCCTCCTTCTCCTCCGTCTCCCTCCTCTCCTCCCTCTCCTCCCTCTCCTCCCTCTCCCTCTGCTCCCTCTCCTCCCTCTCCTGCCTCTCCTCCCTCTCCTCCCTCTTCAGAAGTTTTCGTCGGCGAATAATAGACTCCTTCCCTTCGTTGATGATGCTCATGCTCCCTCCCTCCCCCCGTTCCACTTCTCTCCTCTCTTCCGGCACTTCTCCCTGTTTTAACCCTCCCAGCCAAATCTCTGCTACTCATTACTTCCTCCGCATTGTCGCACTATTGCGCCACCAGTCCGTGTGGACTATGTAGCTTGTCGCACCTGACCGCCACAACCTTGGCGCCGTCTGCATCTGACCGGTAACACGACCTCATGCAGACGAAAAAAAACAAAATACACTGTCGCCGGGTCTCCTCCTGTCTCCCTTGACGATGAATTTACTGGGTAATTAGCGGGAGTTCGGCGGAGAATCCCATTTGATGGTAAACGCGCCCGTCCTTTCCCCGCCATTCCCCCGTCCTTTTTCCCGCCAGAGTGGGCGAAGCAATCCAATCTTCTCCGCGCGCGGGCACTTCGCAGTTTGCCACACGCATTTGGCGATTGATTGATTAGCTGAATTGATAGATTGAGCGCGCACTCTCCACGTGTCAACATTTGAGGGGTCGACCGGCGCTTTTTTCGAAAAAAAAGAGAATGGGGGTGCGGAGGTGGCATTCCGGCCGAGCCGCACGATCGCGCAGTGAGAGGAGAGCCTCGTCCGAAACCAGGCCAACGAGCGGATGCATGCGCGCGCGCGCGCGCACCCGTCGCAAACCGTTGACCTCGTGACACCGCACACGCGCGCGAATCATCTGCCTTCCCTTCCGCTCCCGCTTCCGCTTCCGCCGCTGGGCCGCGCCCGCGATGCTTATTGCTAAGAAGGCCTCCTCAGCGCGTCAAATCCGCGCATTCCGCGCATCGCGCACGGGGCCACGGCAGCAACGACGGAAATCTTCGAGAGCCTTTCATCAATCCCCCAAAGGTAAAGTGACAAACAGGAAGCGACGAGCCTAAGGGAGGAGGCAGGAGGCGCCGTGCGCGCGAAGTAGAACAAAGAAATTCAGGAAGCGGAAGTACACAACTGCGCAAACACACATTCACGCGGACATAGGGCGTCGCTGCACTACCCTCCAAATGTGCAATATGCGACTGAATCCTCCGGTAGAACATAAAAAGATACATTGACATCTTTTCTGTCTTTTGCGCATGTGGAGAGTACTGCAGCGAGGCCCATAATCAACGACATACCAATAGGGCGGGGTCTCTCTACACATACAGAAGTTGTCCCACTAGCCTAGCGCGCACGCATTTCCTGAGGGAATCTCCTTCATGCATGCAGGCGAAGTATCCGGTGGAAAGAGAAGATAGAGACACGGGAAGAGAGAGAGACAGAGACAGAGACAGAGACAGAGACAGAGACAGTGACACACACACAGAGAGAGAGAGAGAGAGAGAGAGAGAGAGAGAGAGAGAGAGAGAGAGAGAGAGAGAGAGAGAGAGAGAGAGAGAGAGAGAGCCCGCGCTCTCTCTCGTGAGCGAGTCCCCGCTAGTTCTCGTTCAAAGAGCAGATTTTGAAGTGGCCGATTAGTGTCTAGTAAGTAGAGTAAGATAGTTGGTAAGATAAGCAAGAAGGAGCTTCGACATTTCTGAAGTGGGGAGCGTCCCGGTACGCTCTCTCTACTCGAGGTTATGATCACTGATGGCTGCGACTACTCTCTCCCTTGGCAACTGCACTCACTCCGTTCCTTCTATCCGATTTCCTTTTGCCATTATGCCCCTCTCCGCCATCTCTCTTCTTTCTTCTTCTTCTTCATCACCATCATCATCTTCTTCTTCTTCTTCTTCTCCTTCTTCCACTACTTCCTTCTTCGTCTTATGCAGTCGGGAGTGGTTTAGGCGTTCGCTCCGGCAATGATCTCCATAATCTCGCCGGTGATCTTCGCCTGCCTCTGCCTGTTGTATGAGATAGATAGATTCTTCTTCAAGTCCCGCGCGTTGTCGCTGGCATTGTTCATGGCGTTCATTCTTGATGCCAGCTCGCTGGCCACCGACTCCTGCAATGCCCTCAACACCTGGCTGTTCATGTACAACGGCAGTAATGCATCCAAGATCTGCACAGGATCTTGCTCAAACTGCAGGATTCCTTCGAAGCTCTCCGTGCTCGTTCTCACCACCTCTCTCTCCACCACAAACTTTCCCTCCTTGGTCGTCAGACGGAACAACTCGTCCTCCGCCGCGTCCACGCAATTGCCGTCGACGTCGCACACTTGTCCCTGGGGGGACAGGGGGAGCAGAGTATGGATGACCACCTCGCTCCGCACCAGCGAGACGAACTTAGTGTAGAGGAGCTCCACCTTGTCAACCTCCTCCGACACGAACAAGGCGAAGAGCTCGTCGGCTATGGCTTGCGCTTCCTTGGTAGTCGGCGCGCCGCCACATTCCAACGTACGGTCGAGAGGAATCTGGGGGCGCCGTTTGTAGAAGGCGTTCCCTTTCTTCCCCACGCTCACCACGGTGCATTCCAGACCCATTTGCTCGATCTGCCCCCTCCGCTCCTCCGCCTTCTTCAGGACGAAGTTGTTGAAACCGCCACACAGACCGCGGTCGCCGGTCACGACGACCAATGCGATCTTCTTGACCGGTCGCACGGTCGTCAGCGGGATGTCGATGTCCTCGGTCTGAATCTGCTGGTTCACGCCGTAGAGAACCTTGACCAGGTTCTCGGAGAAGGGTCGCGCGCCGACGACCGCCTCCTGCGCGCGGCGCACCTTGGCCGCGGCGACCAGCTTCATGGCGTCGGTGATCTTCTGCGTGTTTTTGACGGAGTCGATGCGGTCGCGCAGGTCCTTCAGTCCGCACACAGTCACGCGACCGGTCTCCGGTCGCATGCTCTCCAGCTCCGCATCCGCGCTCATCGGCGGCGCCAGCCGGCTAGGGAGCCGGTTCGATGCCGACAAACCTTCGAAGGAAGGCAGAGTCGAAGGCGCAGCCAGCGCCTTCTTCCTCGACAACGTCGCGCTTCCCGACGAGCACATGCCCGCCGCCGCGGCGGCGGCGGTCACCGCCGAGCTCGTGGCCATGGCAGCCGCCATTGCCTACTACCGAGCGCGCGCGCGCGCACGCCAGCCGTGGACAGGAGGGGAGAGGTCGTAACCCGCGGGGAGGGGAGCAGGCGCGACGGGTAAGGTGCGCGCAGGAGGGGGATGAAGAATGGACCCCGTCACCGCGTGAAGATAAGACGGGGGATAAGTAGCACGGCCAAAGAAGATTGGAGGTGGAGGAGCCGTTACCCTGCTGCTTGGTTAGATTTGTGCGTATCATCCTCTCGCGCAGGAGCCATGCTAATCTTTTCTGCGTCGTTCGTTCCAATTTTAACGAATCCGTGTCCCGCCACGCAAAAAGAAAGAAAAATGAAAGTTTATGTCGACCTGGAAAAAAAAAGACACACGATATAAAGCAGAAAATGAAAAAGCACACAGCACAACACGCTGATGTATGAACGAGAAGAGATCAGCCTCCCGTATCAGGCCACACCTACCGTAGCACACCAACAGTCGGGCCCATTGCCCATCGTTTGCGGCTCGCCTGCTTTGACAGCAGTCGGTCTACCAGTAGGACTCGCAGATACTCAGTCCACGTCCCCGCGTAGGGAATTCCATCCCAACAAAGATTCCCATGGCGAAGCAGCACCACGAGGAACAGGAGTTCAAACCTGGACTGAAATTGCAGGGCCATCGAAACTATCGTGTTTCACCTGTGGCAACGGGACGGACAAGGTCCCAGTTGGCCGAGAACCAAGTTAGCCAGCCCAGCAGACTGCTCGTGGAACTGCATTCCACTCTGAGGACGGGCCCAACCGAATCCACCAGTCACCCTTCCACCATCTTGGCCTGGTTGAAGCTCGGACCAACCAGCCGCATCGTGGGGGTATGGCATAAACGGTTTTTTCTACATGCCCCGCGAGTAGACCCGTAATTAAACCACCAGTGCCTTCCCCAGCTATCGGCCGTGGGCCCTGCACGCCAAGCTTTGTGGGGGCATCTGACGACCCCGGCCAGCCTCGTTCGGCCTCTGGCACGCATTTGTTTTCAAGCGGGAAAAGGTACTGGTGGTTTCAACCACAAGTATATGGCCCCAGCCAACTTCAGAGTCACGGCTGAGTCATTCCGAAAATTTTGGAGGCTCCGAGCAACCAGGCCAAATGGCTGGTGGCACCAGCCAAAACCTAAAAAAAAATATCACTCTAGCATTTCGACAAAGCTTGCCATGTGAGGGGGTGCAAAGCTTGTCAATTTAGCCTCAGATGTACTAGTGGTTTAATGCCACCCAAATTACCCAATGTTGGAGCAGATACTCTGATACCTTGCGAAAGTATTTGCTCACACTCCACATGGATCATATGAAGTGTGATCAAGTTGGTTATGCATATGGCTTGTTAGCTTGAGGCACCAGTATTTGAAAGAAGTCAGTAAGGCTCCACCAGCAGGGTGACCGACACCCTCGAAAATAATGGCCGAAGAGAAAAGACAAATAAGCTTGAAGCACGCCCGAGTGGGCTCGATGCCCAGTAACGTTAGTAAAAACTAATCGTTACTTGTGATAGGAGGGTACGATACATGTAGTAACGACTTGACAACATAGCAAAATGGGACAAAAATGGAGATCTACAACATATCTATATCATTACAAAGAAAAAAAATAAATTGAAGAAGTGACCCTTTGTCTCATTTTATCCTAGTAGTCCCTTCAGATCTGCATCTAGAGTACTTACAACTAAATACCTTTTTTATAATAAAACTTCAAGTACCGTTCATTTTAACCTGATTTCTACTTAGCATTTGAAGAAAGGAATTAATTATGTCAACCGGTAAGTACATTAAAAAAAAAGCAACTGACAGCGCTAAAACTAACTTCGCCATCGGACTTGCCCGGTCCACAAACCCCCGAAACCATCTTCTACTCGCCCAAGACCACGAAGTATCGCGAGCTCTCTCCCTTCTCCGCTGCGCCCAAACTCACCACCCCACCACCTTCGTTAACGAATGCATTCGGCCCTATACGTCGTCCCGCTTCACTCCTTCCCTTACTAACACAGCAAATTGTCACGCGACTCTGCTTTCTTCAGAGGTGCTTCGAAGACAGGGCAACTGCTAGACGGTCCGGGCGATCTTTCCGCCTCTATCTTCAATCCGCCAGACGATCTGTAAGACTAACTCCGTTATCTTGAAAAAAAACTTTGAGGAAACTAACTACTAGACGATTCAGTTGGTCTTTTGTCAGTGCCCCTGCGTCTAGACCCGACGATCGTCCTGCAGCATTGTCGCTGCAATTTTTTACAGGGAACTTCCTCTGGACTACTGTGCTCAGGCAGGGCTGATCACCTTCCAAGTCCTCAACGACGAGTCCACATGCCCCTCGTAGCAGTCCGTGGTGTTGAGGGTGCGGCCTATCGCAAGACCGCAGCCTGAGCCCGACGAGGCGGGCCCTGGTGCAGATCTAGGTATGGTGGCAAATATTCTAACAGGGGCTTCGAAGGCCGACGGGGGAAAAGGACTCCGTGTGGAAAGCAACTTGAGCATTATGACCGATGCCCTTGCGCCCTCGCCCCGCTCATCATGCTTAGTACACCAAATTTTCGGTCCTTTGCGGCACACGCGCACCCAACCCTCTTACCGCAGATTATGGGTTGGTCCCTCCGCCCAGGTTTATTCCACCTTGTGGCTAAACCACCCACTGGCTTACATGCACGTCGACTTCCTGGGCCCGTGTCTTAAGATGGTGGGACTAAAGACCTCTACCAATATCCCGAACACGTAAGGAACCCATAAATGCAGTGTCGCGCCTCAGTCAAAGAGCACTAGAGCGAAATAATAATAATATGATAATAAATAATACAACTGTTTAGAAACTTTTAATTGTCCGAATACAATGAACGAAGAGAAAGAAACCACTAATATCGTTATGATGCCGTCGATGGCAAAACCAAAGGGAATAGCCTCGTCGGGCCCTCAACCTCTAGGCTCCTCCTCGCCGCTCCAGTACTCATATACTGCCATCGCTAGCCTCGATCCCTGAATCTCCCTGCTGAAAGTCCGATACCGTAACCAATAGTATTAGGCCCAAGTCTGAGCTTATCACTAGTGGTAAACTATATAAACGGGTACCTACCACACGTGTGGGTCAGCCGATGGCTTCCTGACTATTTCGTCGGCCTACTGGCTAATCTCACAACTGTCACACCCCGCCCCTACTCCGAGGATATTCGTCCCCCTCACTTAACTTATCACGAGGAACCATACTTCTCGCCCACGTGATTGTTTGCACGTTCACACATGTCGTAGCCAAGCACAACAATCAATCAATCATCAACAAACAGAGGGATCACGCGCGCGTTAAATCTGTGCGCCACATACTCTGTACTCTCTTCAACCATTCAATTAGCGTAAACAACTGACATAGTCACGACTCACGTGGAGTACACAACTCTGAATTAAACCTATTCTCTATCATTTGCAAAAAACAAGGGCGGATACCCTTATAAGGGTATTCGCATTGACAGATGTCGAGCACATTGGTCGCGCACCTCATAAGGGCAGGACCCTCCCAGTCGCGTCACGCAGGAGTTGGTCTACCTCGTCGAGAATACACATGGAGCTTCCGCAATCCGCTCCGGTCGAGTGCGCCAGCCACACCTCTCACGAACCCCTATGGCAAGATAGGGCCATAAAGAGCTATGACTTACCTCCACCTGCGAGAACTGCCACCTCCATTCGGCGGGCGTATCCCCGCCGAGCTACCAGTCCACAATACGAAAGTTAATCAGTTGCAATCGCAGAGGTGGACTAGCTGATGACGTTAGTTGTTCGTTGCAGCATAGGGAGTACGCGTGGTTTTACTCCTCTATCGGACCCGCACGCGAATCGACACACTGGGGAGCTGAAGTCCCAAGTGCGACTTGTCGTCGGTCGACTAGGACGCATCCCACACACCACGCATTACACCACAACACTCATACATACGGAACGACACAAAACAAACAACACAAGCAATCCTAGTCCACAAGTAACCATCCCATAACTCTCCGACGTGGAAAACTCGGATAGGCCACACACGAGAACTTAGTATAAAACTGCGCGGACGCAGAACCTTCCCATATCACCTAGCAATGCATGAATACCCAAGCAGTCACAATGATGACGTACTATGTAGTGCCTATAGTCAAGCGGTCCCTCGTGGATCCAAGTACCGCTTATGACACTCAAGTGTTAATCCCGAAGTATCGTGAGGGTAGAACCCTGCAAGATATTGAACGGCTGAAGGAACAACCGATCGGCCCCTATGGCACCTTCAACCCTTAGGCTGAGTGTCCTAGTGGGCAGAGCAAATAGGCTCTGCGCGGGGGGTGATTCCTTCCATGCGGAGCCTAGGACCTAGGATGTCCTGGACAAGGACCTCGAATCCAGACCTAGGACCAACGCCCGACTAAGAAACTTTTAAGACGCAAAATGGTAAAGGAAGATAATTTTTTTCCCCTTCTCAATCTCAGCCCCAATTAAACCCTTAATCGTGGTTTTTTTAGGTCATGCAAACACTCAAACATAGGTATGTACGTATATATATATAGCGAACAACAAATATGTGACAATCACTTCTCTCAATCACAGTGGGACTCCTCTCAACCATATATATATATGTGATCGCAGATAGTCAATTGCATAGTCTGAATCACAAAACATATTTGCAATCACATCAAAGAATCATAAAAAAGTCCACACCCTACACGAGGTCAACTTCAAGCATTCTCTATACCCATACCCCTTGCTTTAGCCATGCAAACCTCAGCCTTTATCCAACCTTCCAAAATAAGTACTTAGAACCTTTGTTGAATAGTCATTTAATAAAAGTCCGGGTGAAACTTTAATAAAATAATAGAAATCATCAGGGCTAAAGTCTCTTAGGTTGGATAATGAGAATGGATTGAAGTTGAGTCTGGTGATCCTGCTCATAAGTATAAAAGTACAATAGGGCAGTACAAATAAATGAGTTGTAGCAAAGTTCATCCTTAATCTGAATGACAAATAACTAGAAGAATTGAGTTTTCGCCATAGTGCAAGCCGAATGAAGTGAAGTTGAGAAATTTATAGCACCATGACACTAATGTTCATGTAATCTTCTTAATTATAACATTAATATATACTTAACTTTGATTTGTAATT